AGATAGATAGATAAACGCTTTATCCACTTATATGAAACATGATTATATATAGTTTAATACAAGATTATATAGATGAAAAACATAATATTATTGTCATAGCAATGAAAGTGTTTTTCAGTCAGGATCAACGAGAGGGGTTCAGTTATTTATTTCTAAGAAAAAATACATCGATTATGCATAAAGTTATATATAATTAGTGTCTTTGATTGATAAATTTGTTTATTTATAGTGCGTGGTTTACTTCTTTTGTGGAGTTTTAAAAATATTATCTTACTAATGGCAAAGTGACTATCTCTTTTATCACAGAATGATTTGTGACAAAGAAGTGACCGAATTTGGTAGGCATTGTCTCAAGTAAATTAAATAATAATGCGAATTAGACAATTGTCAACAACAATTCATCGGGGATAGTGCAAATTCACGATTGTAGTATCTGTACCAAACCTAATTTCACAGGAGAGGGATTTAACGTTATTACTTCGTTATTTCAATGGCTGAGACTTTAATTTCTACACAATACGCATTAATTTATGTTGTCTACGGACTGATAACAATAGACTCCCGTAAATCATCCTATTTTGTATGTCACGACATTTGCTGTGGCGACTAAATTACAGAAATGGAGACTCCTAATCAAATTCTGGTTACGCGTATTGCACTACAGACGAATTACATTTAGTTTATAAAAAGAATTTAGGTTTGTACTACGTTATTTCGCTTTTTTGTAACCGTTATGACACTAACTAGATTTTTGCTGCTATTAGGCTCAACTCACACTGACGCGACGCTTCGACGCTGCGCTTAGTGCGCCCGGATCACAGTGTGGTCGGCGTCTGACGCGTCACTGCGCCCAAGTAACGTGCGGCGACCCACGAAGCCGCTCGACTCCATATATGCATAACGCAAATCGACCCCTCCCACGTAAAGTATCGTATGTCAAAATTGCCCAGTTTACAGGGGAGCCTTTTAAAGTTCTGAATTCACTGAAATAAGCATAACACGTGACTTTAGATTTCTCACTTTTATTCGGCAAAGTATCATAAAATCCTAGATATCGGTTAGATGATCTATTAGATGATCACTCTATGTGAGTAACAAGCTTTGCCGAATGAAACGGAGAACTTTAAAACACTCCCCTGTAAACTTGGCAATTTCGACATACGATACTTGACGTAGGAGGCGTCGAAATTTGTACTTTAATAATGGGAAAATAGAGATGAATATGCTACAGGCGAAAAACATGACGTTTTGACTCTGCGCCAGTGTGACTTGAGCCTAATGCGAGTGTCGTCGCGCGTCGCCAGGCGTTGTAACTGAAAATGCATGCGACGCGACGCTTTGACTCTGCGCCAATGTAAGTTGAGCCTTATTCGTATAGTGTACTATAGATTAAGTACTATCTTATCTATTTCTGCCGCCTAGCAGCCATGCTCACATTACTGCGTTCCGGTTTTGAAGTGTCAGGATGCTGGTGAAATTACTGGAATTTGGATGCTGGTGGAGTTTAAAGCTTTGAGTAAGAATATGGGTAGACGTTACGCTTGTTCGTCTCATTGCTTGATATCATAAAAAAGAAATCTACAAAATCACAGTTACACAACTACATTGGCTTGAATTTTTTTGTCAAGTAATAATTTAAATTTACGACTAATTTCACTTAAATCCGAACACTTCGCTAATCGGAATGGAGTTTGGTCCCATTATCAGATTAACAAAAAAGTAACGAGAATGGACACTCTCCGCCCCTCCCTAGCTTTAGGTTCCGCACTACGCCCCGCACATTGACGGTCACATTGACTGAACGGCAACAAGGCTGTCTGCGAGCATTTTCGCGCTAAGACGGCTTTCGTATTTGAATATAGTTTTCATTTGTTCATTACGAAACTTGTACGTTAATATATAACATCATTGTACGTTACTATTTATAATGGTCGTGAATTGTGCTGTTTGCAGCCATGTATCGTTATCTAAACGGGATAAAGAGGAGTTTCTTTCGTTTTCCGAAAGATGAAACGAAGTAAATAAAAAAATATGTCTGAGACTCATTCAGTTATTGTTTTTTTTTTTTTAGTACAGAGTAATATATAATACAGATTTATTATATCAATATAAAGAGACGCCATAAGTTCATGAGCTAGTAGAACAGGGTTCTCGAATTTTCAATTTTGGACACGCAGTGTCAAATACCTCAGTTACCTTATTGAAAAGTACTTATCCAAAATATAACATTGTAATATATTTTTTAAATAAATCTTCAATATTATTTTAGTTAATACCTAATGAACATGTGTAATTATTAGGATTCTATTAATAGAGTCATAGATAACAGATTCGCGTTAGAATTTTCGCTACGACAAAGCGATGGATAACCCAGCCACTTCACGCACACATTTGCACCTGTACAGATAGCACCTTGTTGTAGTAGTAGTAATAGGTAAATAACTTTCGACCGTTGTATGGAATGTCCGGGGTGTGCCATAATTGCGGTTTTTTGCGACTCCACATATGCATATATATTCTTTGACATTGTGGGTGGTGCATTACCACATCCCGATAGTTCTTGTAGTAATTAGTGATTAACAACTTCGACGACACATATTTTGCATCAGCACATTTCGAATATTCTTGTAGTAACTAAATAGTGATTACGAAATTTCGGCGACGCATATTTAATGTACCGAACTCATTCACAAGGAGCTCTAGTAAATATACCTTCTATTACACACACACTCACCCCAACACCAACACACATCATGTAACTTTACATATATCCATTTCACATTTTTAAGACTGGCTGTATTTTGCTGTTTGTTCCTTGCTTATAGGTTAACCTTAATTATTTATGTAATAGTTTTAACTTTACCACAGAATTTTTGTTTTGTTTCCTGATTTTCAAACTTGTTCCGCAAAGGGAGACCTGGTGTCTCATAATACAGGGTTTACCTAGTTTGAGCACCAGTATTCCACAATAGAAAGTATACACTGTATTTTATGTACTAGATATAAGTTTTAACTGTGGAAGAGAATAAATTCATTATCATTATCATTATTACTACTTGTCACTGTAGTTTTATTGTAACCTTTTGGATTACCAAAGTTCGGATTATCGGGATTCCACTGCACTGAGAAAAAATTACGAAATTTTAGTTTATTTCTTTTTGTTACCACAGTCGGGCCAATTTGGATGCCTACATATCTGTGTTACAATTACTATAGTAACTTATTAGTAGAGTGTGGATGACAACCATTCATAATGTGCTAGGAAAGTGGAACCCGTTGTGAAAACTGCCCTTTCCGCTATTACTCGTACGCGAGGTTCGTTGACATCGTAAACATTAACTTTCGTGATGCCATGTTAGTTTATTCTATGCTAAAATTAGATATTTAATACGGTACATCTTTGAACGTCTCATCTCCTGGTGTCTGCTCGAGAGCGCATACATTAAAAAACTTCTCGGATGGTATAAAAAGTGTCTGGTAGTTGTTTGTGTCAAGTTTCATGGAGCATGTTAGTGTAGTTGTTAAATGGAAGTGGATTAAGCCAATTCGCTCTCGTATTCACAACACTAATTAATAACATTGGTTTAGTTGCAATTGTATGATAAAATAAAATATGCTACAGGCTAATACCTACTTACATACCACTCAGACCTTTGGACTCTTACTGGGGTAGGCAAAGAATATATACTAACAAAGCTCTCTTGCTTCACTAACATTCGTCAATATTTTTATACAAGCACTTAATCTTCTCACTACACACTCTTCCTTTTTGACAACATTCTCAATAGATCTGAAAACGTTCTCCGCGGCTTTCCAATGCTGTCTTCCACGTTCACAACTCCATCTCTGCGAACCACCTCAATATGCCTTTCTCTATTATTATCACTACGTCCTATTTCGAACCGTATCGTTCATGGATCACAGAATTCTTCACTCTGTTACATAACCGCACATTACATATTTTTCTGAGGGACTTAATTTCTACTGCAGTCACTCTACTATGCTTCTTCTGCCATACCCAAAACTCACCCCCATACGTTAGTGTTGGAACCAAAACAGCCTTATCACCAATTCTCTACCTCTTCTTTCAACGTCTTCTTTTTTATTTAAAGTTAATTGTAAACATTTTATTTCTTTAACTTTCTTTCCATTAATTTCAATTACGCATTCCTTCGTACTATCATTCCCTTTCTTTCGAATAATCCATACCTTATATCCACCATCTCTTACAATTCTTTAACTGGTGAAAATAGCTCTTGACTTCGGTGTATAAAAAGTATTTAATGATTGATTCACCTATTTTCAAATCTTTCATGCAAATTTATCAAACAGTTGTCTATGAACATTGAAGAGGCACGGTGATGCTATACATCCCTGTCAGACACCGCGAGACCAGTCTTATTTCATGCTACCGTAAGGTCCTAAATCCTCGTAAAACGATTTAAGAGCGCGTATTAATTGGCTATCCGAACCGCACCTAGATAAAAGTGATCACGTTTCAGCCCGCGTCACTCAATCGGAAGCTTTATCGAAATCGATAAAGGCATAATAGACTTTCTGGTTCTTTGCCAAACATTTTGTATACATATGTGCTATAAATAGTGAGAAAAATTAATTCATATAGATTTTAAAATGATTAAGAAAACAATTCCTTTACATAGTGTTTCTTAAATAAATTATTTGGGGAAAAAAAAAGTTTACGTGTGACTTTGAAAATGTAAATACTGTAATGTAAATGTGGCTGTGAACCGATAGCTTGTGTAACTTTTTGTTATTGTAAATTATTTACAATTTTTCGTACGTAAAATTTTGCTAAGTTAGGTTTTAGTGTTAGAGGAGTTGCAACAATCACACAAATTTGTTTAGGTTCAAGAGTGTAAAGCAAAATTATGTTTAAACTTTTGTAAGTAATAAATAAATTTAAAAAATACACTCATTTTAGCTGTGCCGTAGTTAGATCAATTTTTTTTTTAATTATTAATAATAAAAAGTCAACTCACCCAATAACATTAAGACACCGACAAACGACACACAGGAATACAGGAAAGGGAGATACGTCCATAAATCTGAAAAGGCAATATATTGTTAAAAAAAAAACATGAATAATCAAAAGTGTACTTTAACAATACAAACAATTAACAATCGGCAATGATGGTTTAGAAATGAAGCACTTCAGATCAATATAACCAATTTGAAAAACGTATTTTTCTCATTATACGGCGAAAGATAGTATGACAGCATTGATACTCTGTCATTCCGATTAAGTCCTGCCGCCTAAACCACCGTTTTTACTATTTAACTGTCAAAAGTTTGACTAACACTACGTAGAAACAGTGTTGTAAATTGTGGAGATAAATAGAGATATTTATTTTATTATTTCGTTTTATTACTTTAGAATAATTGACCATTTATCAAAGCTGAGAATAAAAAAGTAACGAGAATGGTCACTCCCCTCCTCAGCTTTAGAGACCGCACTGCGTCCCACATAATATATTTGACGGTCATATTGACGGAACGGCAACAGGGCTTGTCGTGTATACAATATACATCAGTCGTATGTAAAATAAAGAAGAGAGGTTGCCGAATAGTTCTCGGGGTTACACCGAACCTTGGGAGTACAAGGTCCTCTTGGTTGATTACCTACTTGTTCATGGGGGAAACTATTTGGAATTGAAATACCAGGATAACAATCCAGCAATATTTATTTAAGTACTATACGCGCACATGGCGGATCGTCCCGCACTGGTACAGCCTATCAGTTATCTACTGCATTTTTTTACATGGCACCATTAGAATTACTTTAAAATCCAACTTCGACTTCCTAGGTACTCATCGTAGGACAAACTACTGAGTTTGTCCTACGATGCAGTAAAATCATTTCCGGAAATCTGGAATTCGCAAAAATAATTAAGTAATATTTGGTGGTTTTAACAACTATTGTATTAGGTTAAACCTGTGATGATAGCTGTACGTGTTGAATAAAAAAAAAAAAAAAAAAAAAACTTTATGTCGCTCCATTTAGCTATGTCTGTACTTGTATCTATATATGTAAAACACCCTTTTCTGACCTATGCTGATAATACATAGAAACACTTAAGTGGTGTTGATATTACCTCATACCGGTTAGGTACTGCTGTTTAAACTAATTCCTTCTTTCGTATTCTTTGATCTTTAGCCTTACGCGGTTATCCAACCGGTGTGAGTTATCTTGACGACGTCAATTTTAAATACTTCGCTTTGATAGTGATAGGTACTGGGACTATTATGAACGAAGATACGAAAAAATACAACATGTATTAAGCAAGCATTATAAAAACAATTAATATTTTTATCACATTTTTATCACATGTGTAATTAATGATAGATAAATAACGACTCCCATTACTCATTTGTATTTTGATACTTTCTCCAAACCTACTCACACGTATGTTTACTTTTGCAAATGCAGGCCTTGTTAAATGTTTATTGTTAGACGAAATGCGAAAGTTAGAACATTCGTCTATTATTAGCACTTTCTTGTCTAACAGTTCACAGAAAGTATTATCACTATCAACCGTTATAAGTCCCGACGCTAAGCACGGGTCTTCTCTAAAGAGAGAGTTTGGGCCAGGGGTGGGGAAACTTCATTAGGAGCCAGACGCACTGCACACGGGGTAATTTCAACAAGATTTTTCTGACGATATTCAACAAAAAGGTCACTGAAAAAAGTGGCTACCAAATTGTTATCTGAAACAATAATAAAAAAAAATATTACATTGATAATTAAAACGAATAGACAAGCTATTTGGCACTTTTTTCAATCAACTTGTTATTGATAATCGTCAGAAAAGTCTTGTTGAAATTATCCCGCGTGCAGGGCGACATAACTGTTACGTAATCTGGCACCTCTCCCGCACCGCGCAGCTACCTCAGGAACCGACTCAGTTAAGCGGTACGCCTGTAGCAATAACATTTTGTCGTTCAAGATATATTTATCAACATCATTATGATGTGATCATTAAATTGAACTGAAGAAGTTTCTGGAAATACACGCGTTCTCATACACATCTGTATACAAAAATTCCTATACAGAAGCACTTTCATACGCACACTCACATACACGCAAAAAAAATAATGTCAAAATTGGCGTATGTAAACTTAATAGCAATACGTTCGAGTTGGGGAGCCTGGCGACACAAGCACTGGAAATACGACCCCAACGGCAGGGACTTGAGTATGATTTCGAGTGCTTCTAACCATACTCAAATCCTGACTTGAACATTGAGTAGAGTTCTAGAATATGACCCTTAGACACAGATCTCTTGATCTAATTTACAGACTTTGTCCTCTATTGAATAAAACCTGATTCTGTAACTAATATTTTGTAACCAAAATTTGTGGAGAAAACAAATTATTATTATTAGTGTTCATGAGCAATAAGTCATTGAAATAACCATTGCTCCAAGAATCACAGATCATGTAGTTAAACAACTACCGATGCTGATTTCCGGTCACCTATTATTCAACGGCTCGCACCCATCAGCCAGCAGATCATTGACAATGGCCACGGTCACGCTAGCGTGACGCGTAATTTAACGTCTACAGTCGCGGTCGTTTGCGTTTGGGTACATTAGTGAATACTTATTTTTTTAAATACGTATCATGTAATAAATCTGTAACTTGAAACATGTTATTAGAATCAATGCGTTTTTAGTACCATAAGTAATTTAACTAAGCAGTAGGTTTGGTAAAAAAATTATTATCAAAAGACAGGACAGTATACTATTAACCCGTCACGCAATCTAGAGATACACGGTGTCCCTAAGAATTATGTTTATTTTTTTAATTTTTATAAATTTTTATACAATTAAAATTGATTTTATTAATATTGACATCAATGATGTTTTATTGCAATGATATTCATTTATTTTTGTGAAGCAACTCCACTTGTTTGTTATGATTCATTAAGAGGGAGCAGAGGAAAAATTCCTAATCTTCGATTTGATTTTACAGGGGTATATCCACTTTAAAGTTAAAAATAAAATATTGTATGAATAACTACACGATATATTCAAGCATAGACACTAATCAGAAACATAAAACAATAAAGTTTCCTCGATAGATAAAAATCACGAAATGACCTCTAATTTTCACATTTTTTCGATTCATCCTCGAAATGCTACAGGTTATTAGGACAAAAATTAGATAATTAATTATATTTATGCATGATCGAGAACTGTCACTACGTGTTTTTTTTAATCCCTTTAGTTTTAGAGTTATTCCGCTAAAACGAATTTGGTACTTTTAATGCGCAAAATTCAACATCTGTCGCATGTCAAGCGAACTTCAGGCATATATTTGTTTCACAAATTTGGGCGGAGCCAACGTCAAAACTTATTTGGCATGCTCCCTCTTAATATAAAGATCGAAAGTAAAGAAAATTTAAGAAGACAAAACTCCAACCTACATCAGTGCTTCTACCATGAGATTACTGTTTACAGTTATCGCTAGCGACCGCGTAAAATGTTTGTATACAAAATGTTGTTTCTTCTTGTGACTGGTAGGGACGCTGTATATTTTGCCTTACAAAATACCACCAGGCGTACACTTGTTCGTCTCGTCACTTGATATTATAAAAAAAAAATCAATCTGTTAGCAGCCTAAAGGTTTCGTGGCTGCGAGTGAATCGCGGTAACGCGCGTTATGTGCGCGTCGCCTACGCGTAATAAATGCACCGTGTGCACAGGCTCTAAAATATATCTTTTTAATACTTACTTAATAAAGCATCAATACTGGATCCGTCGCCGTCCAACCACGCCGATATGACATAGGCCAGGCCAAGCATGGCCACACCAAGCAGAGCGAGCACTAAGAAAGTCTCGTATACTCGGCCTCTCATTCCCCGGCATCCAGGAAACCCGGATGACTCAGAAAACAAGTATGCAAACGGCAGAAACACGAACAGCGACAAGTTTGAGAATAGGAACACGTGGTTCCATAGGCCTGGAACAAAAGATGTACGTTAATGATGTAAAAGTGGTGTTATTCTGATGGTAAAGATTTATTCATACATCTTAAGTTGTCATTAAAAAAATAACAGGTTCGTAATTAGGAGTTGAGAAGAAAGTAGCAGTAGAGCTCCTTGTAAAAGATGTCGTCCACCATCATTATTTTTTTGTGTAAACATTAAAGTGTTCCGGATGGGTGACTTGGAACTTGTGAACTTATGTCTCGGGGTGGCGGGCGCAGTGGCAGTGCCCCTCAGATCTTTGTTGACACTGCAACTACTATGGACAGGCGTGTCGCTTAGCACTAGGAGCACGACTTACCCGTTCCGTCATGCGTCACTTAGTATCATAAAAAAGATTGCCTTGTGTAAAAAGTTTCATGTGAATGAAAACAAAACTTTATTAAACACTTCGTCTGTCCTGATTACCTGGATGGAAATATATGCAATTCATTATCATAGCTGAGGACAGGTCTCTCTAAAGTTGAGGGTTTTTAGGCCATAGTCCGCCGCTGTGACTCAAAGCTTTTATAGGGTGGGGTTTGTAAACTTTCTACGACTCATGTTTTTCTTCAGATTTAATTAACAAGAAGCACATCAAGTAGGAACTTAATGATGTAATATTTCATTCAGAAAAGAAACCAACAAATAAAAACATTACGAATCTTACAAATTATTTATCGAATAATAGTAAAACTGGCCCCTACACGAGTCGAAGATATGGCCACGTGTGAACATTATACACGCTTCTTATCTAATAAGTTACTTTCTATTTACAATTTAAGCGTAACATGGTTAAAGCGGCCACGTGGAAATGCAATAGGCAATGAAATCGAATTCGCCACGAAAGATATGGATGACTCTGATGGCTATCAAACACGTTTATATTGTGTAACAAGAAAGAAGTTCCCCTTTCATGGTTATCAAGCAACAGCTTATTCTTTTTAAAACATTTTAAATTGACAGATTAATAATAATAACGCAACACACTCATTGCCCTAGGCACTAGGGAAACCCTGAGTCGCAGGTGCCATGGACCACACATAGACAACCACAAATTACACCCAATCTCACGAGAGAAATGTAGGCCATACACATATTTATCCCGGCCTGGGAATCGAACCCAAAACCTCTGCGTGGCTGTCCGGCATGGTAACCGTTCGGCCACTGAGGCAGTTAAAAATTGAACATCATTTATTTCTTTTCTTACACAGATTATAAAGGCGTTACAACGCCTCATCGCATCGCACGCATCTGCGTCGCTGTGATCCACCTCTTGCGGTCTAATCAGTCACAAAAACCAAACAACAAAACGCAATAATAATAAATTTCATAAGCCTATCTAATAGTTAAAAAAATTATTGTAACTTTGTAAAAATGAAAAACGTATGAGTCCACACGATGTGTATTCGATAAAAAATATATAAATAAAACAAATAGAGACATCAGTTTCATACGGATTATCAAATCAAATGTAAAATATATTCGTTAAAAGAATGCCTGTGTTCCTGTTATATAAACAACTAACAAGTTTAATAAAATTGAAAAAAAATTAAAAGAAATCTCCGATATTGTAGACTGTCGGAAATTAAATGCAATCAGCAAGTCAGCCATGATTATGGAACCTGAGGGTTCCCCGTTATCGCGTCTGTCTGGGGGTCTATTCTCGATTTCCGTCCGACATCCGTCCGAAACAATTACTGTCAAATAAGTAATATTCGACAAAATTAAAAGACAAGTATCCAGTATGAAGCTTCATTCGCATCACGCGTCTTTTCATTTGGTCAAGTATTGTTTGTTTGGCAGTAATTGTTTCGGACGGATGGCGCACGGAGATCGAGTGTAGACCCCCTGGTTCGATATTCGTCCGAAACTATTACTATCAAGTAATATTCGACCAAAATAAAACACGCATGATCCGAATGAAGCTTCATACTTGACATTGTCCTTTTATTTACTCGAGTATTACAGTAGTATTACAGACGGATGTCGGACAGAGAACGGGAGTAGACGAACGAAATCCGTTTGTTTGAAAAAACTAATAAAAGCTATTTTAGATTTAAAAAAAAACATTACCAATAAATACGTGTTACGTGAAGATTATAAAATTAATATTAAATGTATTTATCTTGTAATTAAATAATAACTATTGTTTAAAAAAAATTTTTTTTATGACTTGAATATAAAAGCTAGGTAAAATCGCGTCGATGGCTTTTTTCTACATTATACTGGTGGCTAATATTTTTGTACAGGCGGCAGCGTGTCAAATTACACACTGACAGATGTCTATCCGTTGTTCTGAAGGCGATATTCGTACAAAAGACACACTGACAGATCTCATTCCGTTGTTCTGACGGCGATATTCGTACAAAAGTGTAAAGCTTGTTGTGCCATTGATTGTGTAATACACGCGTCACGTCAAGCGCTCGCGAAGTGCATTTTAAAATTGGAATATATTTTTTATTTATCAACCGATTTAATTGAACCAAACAACAAAATTCAAAAGATGAAATGTACTCGATTATAAATCCAAAAAAAATAGTTTAATTTCCAATGTGTAGCAATCGAGGAAACCTAAGCAAAACTCACTCATAACAGTTTTTATCCATATTAAAGGGAATCATTCCCGTTACAGTATTTTGTCGCATTAAAAAAAGTTTTTTTTTTATTAATATCAATGACGGTCCTAACCTACGGTGCACAGGCATGGTAGCTGACTGAGTTCCAGAAAGGAAAGCAGCATTCTGGGCTTTAAACCCATTTGACCGAGTAGGCAATAAACACAATGCTGCGGTCGATGGCTGGCATTGCTGATGTGGGGAGCAAAAAAGTCAGGCTCAAATGGGATTACGCGAGACACATTAGCCGGACACAATTCGAGAAGTGGGTGAACGTCGTGGTGGAAGTGGGTGCCCGAGGATGGAAAGAGACAGTTGTGAACGTCCGAGAAGGCTGAAGGAAATGATCTTGATGGGTTTGAGAAGGAGTGGTGGGAGATCGCCAAAGACAGAGCGCAATGGAGGGTTTTGGGGGAGACCTTTCCTCAGCATTGGGACATTATAGGTTAATAAGAAAAAAATCAACGACGGTATGTCTGATAGTAGACTACACTCCTGTCCATAACAGATGCAGTGCCACTCAGAGCTTTAAATCGCTGAGACATAAGTTGACAAGTCCCGTGTGTCTGTAATTTCACCTTCAAAAGCGAAACGCGGTAAATGCTCACAATACGCTTGGTGGCAAAAATAAGTAAGGTAGCAGGTAAGGTACTTCCCTGGACGGACCTTTCACAAGGAGCTCTACTACTACAAATTGCTAAAAAAAGATATGTAGGTGACACACGTTTGCGCTTATGTAATAGCGGGCACAGCCAGTTGATAAATTGTGTTAATCACACATAAGTATTAAATAACAACCTGTAATATACAATTCAACGAATTAATGTGAAACGCAATTCTTGGTCACATCAGCATTTTCGAGTTCAAGGGTAACCAATTTATAATTTACCATTGAACAAGTTCACTGTCAGTTGGGTAATGTGCCGGATTTGACTGCACGGATAACATTGCTAAGAACAATAGACCGAATTATGTTATTTACACATATTATCTACGGTACGCGTCCGATATTGTAGGCAGACACATAGCTTAGTAACTAAAAGCTGAATGTACTGTACATTTTTGTGGATGTTTCAATAGTAATAACTCTCGTGAACGGTAAAGAAAAACATCGTTGTGAAATTTGCATATCGAAGAGAGTTCACAACTATTGAAAAATGAATAGAATGGCGGACTATGGCCTAAGCCCCTCTATAGAGAATACGAGTCTCAGCAGTAGGACACATCGATACTTCGGGGGAAGAAGAGGCGTAAGATCTAATTTTATCGAAAATTTTCCTTTAATGTAATGAATATAATTTATTTAATATAAAGACCCGCACTTGGGATACCCTGTATTGTGGGTGCCATGGGCACACACATTAGACAACCACAAATTACACCCAAACTCACGATATATTTAAAAAATCGGATCCGGGACCTATGTGTGGCAGACCAGAATGACACCATTCGGTCACGGAGGCAGTTCTAATAATTGGTTTAAATTTTGCAAGATCCTTCCATCTGTTTAGTCGAAGAAATATTTATTGAAAACGAAATTTTTACGTAAAAAGCTATGAACCAAAACATTTATAAAGTTTAATCCCCAGACGGGTCAGCGCAAAAAACGAACTTTTGTGCAATGTCTCGGGTCTGGTTGTTTGTGATACCGTCGTTGTTTCCTATTTCCATGACACAAATGAATGTTTTTTACACTTTGTACTTCGGCTTTTTACGCCTTTTCTTCCCTGATGAATCGATATATGTTAAACGAAAGTTCGATTTGTCAAACACTCAGAAACTTTATTGAAAAATTCCCGAAAATAGACTCTTTCGTTTAGTGACTGTATTAATTTCAACGTTACGCAACGCGATATTATGTCCACAAAAACGTGTAACTCTACGCATATTATACAAGAATGTTTTTATCATTATACAAAAGTAAATTAAAAGTATTGTTTCTGTACATACGGTTGAGGTTACAATGTAAATATAAATATCGTCAAAGGTAATGCCTACAACAATTTCATAAGAATTACAGATATTACGTACAATACACGTAAATGACTTACGTGGCTTTTTGATACTGGCTTAGACTGTAAGAGGTAGATTAGTATAAAGCTGACAAAATTAATGCGCCATTATTTTGTTCAAGGTAAAGCGCATTTGACCGCCACCTTACCTGTCGGGCTAGCACATAAGGCGCGATTAGCATGAGAGCGAGATAAAGCGCGATATACTGCTATTCTCGCATAGAGATCTCGCGCTTTATGTCGCTCTCGCGCAAGTCGCGCGTTATCGTGCTAGCCCTACTGATGGGAAGTGGCGACTATAGTCTGTCTTTTTTGAAGACGGAGTAAAATGACAGTTCATATCGCAAAATTGTTTCCCGCTTACAACCAGCTAGTGATTGCAGTCGATGCATATTGCATCGACTATCGACTGAATGTTGGTTATGCATGCAATAAATTTATTCTAGGCCCATTATTTGTCCAACTGCTGGGCACAGGTTAATTTCAATTATCAATTTTTGTACGTTCATACATACATACACCGCATTAAAAACTATGTCTATTAAAAATAAAAAAGGAGATATATTTTAAAGTTTTTAATTTTAATTCAATGTAGATAATGAAATCCGCATGTTCTTGTTAAAATGTATATGAATAAAAAATGATTATGATATTAATAAACCTGATGTCAAACTAAAAATGAAGATGGCAATAACACAAATCGATAAAACTGTCCATAATAATTATAATAATAACGTGCGCATACACTCATAGCCCCGCACTAGGGAAACCCTGTTACGCGGTTGCCGTAGACACACAGTCCAGCGTGGTAACCGTTCGGTCACGGAGTCAGTTACTATTCAAAATTTTACGAAAACTGGCAACCCTACAAATGTCATTTTGCTCCGTGCTCAAAAAAGACAGACTGCTTATAGGTTGACGATGGAGCGTGCATACCTATATAATGCCTATTCTTTGAATTGCTGTCGAATTCTTATTTGTTTAAATTGATTTTATTTTATTTATTTTTTATATATATATTTTTTTATATATATTTATTTTTTAAATATAAACGCCAAACCTTTATTACCTGGCGTCAAATCAGGGAATTCCCTGTACTACGAGTACCAAAGCAACGGAATTCTAAAAATAATCCAGGATGATTCCTGTGCACAATGTGCAAAGGTTACTCTATTAGGGCGCGTAACCATTATATCGTAACGTTTTATTCATCGTTAGACGACAGTCCCGTCTACACTGGTCCCGTATCTCGACTTTCTGTCGTGACGTGTCGTGGACGTTTATTGTATGGCTGAACGACTGTCGTGTCTAGTTGTTCCCACTAGACCGTGACGACAATTAATCGGATCACAGCACGGCAGCCGCCTCGTAGAATCTGTCATCACATTTCTATCGTGACGATTTATTTATTGTCGGACGACTGTCGTTCTAGCTCTTCCCACTGTCACGACAGTCTGTCGTCGTAACGACAAAAAAGTCAAATCATTTCTGAAATCGACATTCAGAAAGATCCGATTAAATTGTCGTCACGGTCTAGTGGGAACAACTAGACACGACAGTCGTTCGACCATAAAATAAACGTCTTTTTTGTCGTTACGACGACAATAAACAAACATTAATTGGGATCTTTTTATTGAATTTGTTTTATTTACCACTGGCAACTACTGGGATATCGTAAATTTCATTTGTCGCCAGTGGCAACAACGGATCTTTTTATCCCATTTGTCACCACCTGGTAACATATGGTTGTTTTCCCATTTGTCGCCAGTGGGAACAAAGCCAGTGGTGACAACTGGGAATAAGCCGATTGTCCGTGTTTACTTATATTAGAAATTTCACAACGACTGTAATCATAACATGTACAATTGTTTGTTATCCATTAAAAATAAATAAAAATGTTGTAATTTTGCTGGTGCGGCCTTATTAGACACCAAGGGTGCGTAATACACTTCTTATGAATGAAATGTATCAACGTATATACGTTCCACTGTTAGGCATGGGGTCCCGCAACGACATCAAGCAACTAATATTATATACTCAACATAAACATAATAAGTACATGTATAATAGATTATGAACGACAACAATTGTTTTACATCCTGTTGGAGGTTTACACTTGTTATGGTAATCTGGCATTCATTAATTTCGAAATATAATAGTCTCTATGTATTTACAAACTACGTTAATAATGCAATAAACATTTATGTACGACCGTTTCGTTTTTATAATTTTATGAACAGTCTTTACTTACAACCAAAAGCACTCACCAGCACGGGCTGTCTATGCTACATTGGTCAGAACTGCACTTGTCGTCTTTTGTCCAAAATAAAGTCGGGTTAATTTGAAATGTTGTCAGTCTACTCAACCTATCTTCGTGGCCAGCTAATCCGCTGGTCATCTATGGAGGCTGGACACAACAATAGTGTTCATGCTAAAAGCGTATGTTGTAAAAATTAATTACATTGTCAGTGTATCTAAAATTATGTTTGGCTTTACTATGGCTTTGGTTATTACTACTTAATGGTGTAGTTATTAATAAAATTAATCCTTACAACATTGCCAGTAGGCAGCGTGGTTCTAAAGCGTACTCAACCCTTACTTACCTTGTATTAGCGAGCTGTTCAGCCATTTTACATAGTAGCTATTAGGGTACAGGATCAGAACCTCGTTGCTGACGATTGACACTGGCAACAACAATGCCGATCCCAGAGAGACGGCCAAGGCGAATGTGCACAGCCATAAGCTGATACGGTACACCTTGACTTCATCCTCGTCATTGGAGAAGTAGTCCTCACTGTCTCGTCGCCTGAACTTCTCGATCAGCATGAACGAGAGAAGGTACAGGAGGATGAAAAGGAGCAAAAATATCTGAAACAAGGAGAATAATTTAAATGAATGCACGATGCGCAATTATCAGCATTTTGCTGAAAATCTCGATAAATGCTAGTATTTGATAATAATAATAATCTTTAAGACCATGGGAGTGGCGATAGTCTAAAATAACTAAAAAGTGTTTACGTTCACTTAAACCTAGTTTACGGCGTTTGCCGAGGAAAACTCCATTTAAGCAAAACAATTACTTGTGCTAGAAGTCCCAGCCTCTCCATGTTAGAGTTCTATGTGACCAGGTAAATTATGACTAGTTAAGTTACAGGTACTATAAAATTATTAAATTAAAATTACATAGGGAAATAAAATAGATATCCGTAATAACAATAACAACGGCAAGTATTGTTCGCCGGTTCTTAAACCTAATTCTCTAACTCCGTCCGACTGTACCATTGCCGTATCGACTGTCCTATTTAAAAATTCAATTACAAAAAAAACGATCTCAAAAGTTTGTGGAATTACGAGGAGGTTGTCAATTCGATTGTGTTTTTTTTTTATGTATCTTACGCGATAACTCCTATGTGTTATTAGGGTGGTTAATTCAGGGACCAATCAGGGGTTAATACTAAAATCGACACTAATTCCAACTCTGAGCCAATAATAATAGAATGAAAATTGGAAATGAAAATGTAGAATTTACTTAGCTTTGATTGATTTAATCTCCTCTGGATGGCGCATATATTTGCCTAATAGTGTGTATCGTTATGCCCATTAGTAGGTAACAAACAAGGTCGGAGACATCTTAGCCAGTCTAATATTCTTACGTTGCTTAAGGTTGGAGCCCTAGGCATTCACTTGAAATTGAAATACATAATTTTAATTTATTTATTGATAAGAAATAAATGTTACTAAATGGTGGATGTTGTAACCCATTGTGGCATGCAAGCTTTTACTGATTGTGTACATACTTAATAAGGATTTTTTTTACAGAATTGAAACTAGGCAACAAAGTCAGCCAGTGATATAATTTTTGTATGTTTGTTTGATATCTATTGACAATCAGCTTAAATAGTCATTATCAGATGGCTTCATTTAAATAACAGTAATAACTATGATAATATACTAGAAAATCATAGTAATTATCTAGTCTCAAATCCTCATGGACCAATGCATAGGTGCAAGGGATGGCAGTAAAGTAATCAGACTATTTTAAATTAAAAAAGAAGACAGGCTACTTCCGACACACATTCGTTTTTTATTCTCTTTTCAAAATTAGTGAGTCTTATTTATTATGTTTCGTTTCGCATACAAAATGGTGGAAAAAAAGGAAAATTCTCAAAAACGAGGAACAACTTTTTTAATAGACAAATGTCGCTTTCTAACAAACATAAGAAAGTGTAAATAGGAAATTTTATATTTCCTTTGTACATTTCATATAGAAAACAAAAAGTAGCTATAGTCATCTTTTGTTCCAGCCGATCCTTGTAACTCCAGAGACATCCGACTACTGTCATGTCACTCACTGGTGTTGAAAACTCACTTCACTGATTGACAATATAGCACCAAACATGAAGAGGTTCTGGTGTTGGCGAGGAATAGCCTCAAAAATGACAAAGTCAGCCAAGTGAGAGCAGAGACTCTAGAATTTGCCATGAAGTAGGTGAAATGCCTCAGCCTCTGTTAGCACTCTAGTGACCATACGAAACTTATACCTGATTTAAACTATTGACGCAAAAAAACTAGCCCACTGGAAGACTAATGTGAAAATATGTTGTCCCTTACAATGTTAAAAATACATAAAAATTAATAAAAAAATAATCATTTACTTCACAACGTAGAGCATGATATTGAGAATTAAACTGTGTAAATAACTCCCTTTTACATGAAAATTGTGAATTATGTCTACAGTCATGTGAAAAAGGTAAATGTATTTTTTTCTATATTTCTACCTTCTTGCCAGTATTTCAGAATGGGTTACCAGAAAGGCAACAAGCACTTCAATTGCTGCTTTTATTGCTACTCCACCAAAAAGACAAAAGTTTTTGTTAATTTACCAATTGGTGTGGTGATTCCAATCCATCCTCCAATTAACCACTTATAGAACTAAGAATAAGTACACACATTATATTGCTTTGATTACAAAAGAAGGAAGTCTGCAACCACAGGCATATTTTTTATTATGATATTAAGTGACCAGATGAACAAGTTGTGCTCCTGGTGGTAAGCTACAAGCCTGTCCATAACAGTTGCAGTGCCACTCAGTGCTTTAAATCTCAAAGGTCTGAAAGTCACTGCACCCATCACACTGAGACATAAGCTGACAAGTCCCATGTGCCTGTAATTTCACCAGCATGCATGCACTTCAAGAACCGGAATGCAGTAATGCTAACATTAGAAGGAAAGAAGAAAGAAAAGTAGTTTATTTGGTAAACTTACGACAAAATATATATAACAGAATGATAACAAAAATAAAATAATGTCATGATAAATACAAAATAAAAGAATTACATTTAAAAGTTACCAAAATGGTCTCCACTCAGTTATTTGTAACAAAGCGTGGGAAAACACCTAATTATGCTGGTTTTCAGTGAAGCCGAATACATAACAAGGATGATGATGTCGCTTCATCCAAGCAGATAAAATAATAAAAAAATAAAAAATAAAAAAAAAAGTAAAAAATAATATTATAAAAATGGGTGTATGTGTAGAGTAGGGACATGATAAAACTAAAACTGATTGTGCGTGTATTGTTCTCATGTGTATGTGGCTGGTATATTAAAACTAACAGTAAAATGTAGAAGGCACAGCACAACTGCCATTACTGCTGGGCGGCAGAAATAGGCATGGTTGTAGTACTTCCCCTGGACAAACTCTTTAACAAGGAGCTCTACCACTACTATTATTATTTTTGTGCTTAAAAGGAGTCTTCAGTTACTATGATTGTAAAATTAAAACTGAGAAAGCAATTTTTTTATCATTATTTAATTACGGAGCATCCTACATGTTAAATATAACAATGCCACCAGACTGCTGGCCACATTATTAACTACTCTTATCTGCATGAGTTGATAATCGTAGTATTGACAGTATCAAATCATTGCATGTAAAATAAAACATGAAGTATGTAATAATAATAATGCACGCACTCATATCCCTGCACCTTTTTTACCACGACATAAGGCACAAGATACAGCTATTCTTGCATAGAGATCCTGCACTTTACGTCGCTCTCGCATAAGCCGCGTCTTATCATGCTACCCTACTGGTAACATATGGGGTTTTTTTTCCCATTTGTCACCAGTGGGAACAAAGGCAGTGGTGACAACTGGGAATAAGCCTATAGAACACCACAAATGGCACTCAAACTCACGAGATAAATAAATTTAGGCCATATAAATATTTCTCCCAGGCCAGGAATCGAACCTGGCACGTCTGTGTGGCAGACCAGCATGGTAACTGTTGGCCACAGAGGCATGTACTTAATGTAGTTTAAAGTTTTTTATTAATTATTAATAATAATCAGCCACATCAATTACCTGGTCTCAAACAAGGGAATTCTCAGCACTATACTCATAGTTATTACACCAGAGCAACAGAATTCACTGTGGGGAAATAACCAGATTACCCAGACCAGAACTAATTTAACTGCCTCCGTGGCCGAACGGTTACCATGCCGGACTGCCACGCAGAGGTCCCAGGTTCGATTCCCGAAATGTTTGTATGGCTTACATTTATTTCTCTCGTGAGTTTGGGTGTAATTTGTGGTTGTCTATGTGTGTGTCCATGGTACCCGCGACACAGGGTTTCCCTAGTGCAGGGCTATGTCGAGTGTGTGCGTTATTTATTTATTTATTTAATTCCAAGATGTTAATTTGCCAAATTAGTCCTACTGGGAATCTAACCCGAGTCATCCCATCCAGTGCTCACAACTCATGCAGTTGGGTAAGTTCATGAAATAAGATAATGGGATACTGATTTGAAATGGATGTTTATTAATATTATAAATAATTTAAAAGCCACTCTCAAATTACTTTTTTTTAATTTATCCTGCAATCAGCCTTCTTGGCTATAAACAGATGGATTGTTGTTGTAGTCTGGAATTTAGATTTTTTTTTTTATAAAATATAAGTGCGCATTTGACCTCCATCTACTTTCAAAGAGTATATATTTAGAAAACAAATTCCGAACTTTATAAGTAGCAATACAGAGTTGATTTGTGAGAGATGTTTTACTTTATCAACGAGAAAATTATTTATAAACAAATAGTACCTATTCACTGTTAAACAATATCCAAGTAAGTGATTCGACGAAAAATTCTTTGCATATTTAGTTTTTACTTACAATTTGCTCCCGCACATTGTTATGAAAAATCTGTTCACGCAAATCGGCCTCTTCATCATCCATCGTCTTCCAGAGATTATCTCTTTATTGATATCTCCTCAAAGTGTTCCACGTAAATACACATCTTTTAATTCACTTTACAAAATCACAACATTGTATACTTGTAAACAAAGTACAAGATCACTATTTCTTCTTATATGCACAGTTTATTGACATATTCTGGAATCATTCTTTAAAACTAAATAGCACACGAGTGACGATGATTATATTGCAGTCTGTAATAAAAACACGACCAATTTTTTAATACTCCACTGAAAGGTAAGACCACGAATGACAGCATGCAACGCACAACGCACTACGAAACGAAAATTAGTTGGTTGCTGGTAGTGATGTTGGAAGAACTATCGATATCGATACATTCGATCCTTTGTCATTAATGTCATTTCGGTCTCGTTCAACTCAAAACCAATATTGCTTAAAAAAATTACAAAAGAATTAAAAACTCAATCAAATGCAAAATGAGTTTATGAGAAAAGCCACATTTTCAGTTTTCCTGTAATATATTATGCGAATCATAAAAAAAACTTACCTTCATGAAAGTGCATTTTGACACAGGGATTATTTTACAATAATGAGTGATACAAATGCGATCTTATAAATAAAAAAAATCATAGTTTATGGACATATTATTATGACTGTTTACGGGCAATAAACGTGTTTTTTTCCTAAAATGGCATGAGTTGAAGTCGTATAGGCTTAGTTTTTATTGATATCGATATCATCAACTCACATCACTTTGGACCATAAATATTGGTTACAACTTTTTAAATCCATAAACAATATAAAAAGATGCTCGTTATTGTTGATCCGCTATTTGTGATCTACTATGCGTGAATGCAACAGAGCTATATGAAATCAATTAAAAAGTGAATATTAAATGTCTAGAATCTTCGCTGTTGTATACCATAAAATTGTACTGTCAAAATGTCAATTTCAAGGTCACGGTCTGTCATGCATGACTTCAAAAACAAGTTTCAAAGAGAATTTAAGCACTACGTTTAGACAAGTTTGTTCAAGTTTTCGTCTTCTTAATAAATTATGTTTGCAGAAACTTCAAAAAAAAAAATGGAAACGTACAAGGTATTATGATTAGATTTCATCATGAGCAATTCTTTCTGTAAGTATTTTTGCACATATTAATACAAAAAATTAGTTTAAACCTCGAAATCTTATTTGTTTTGGTATCGGTTTTCGTAGATGTTTCATAATTTTTTTTCTCACATGTTAATGGTTTACCTCGTACCAAACGTGCATTTTTCTTTATATTGTACAGCCTTATCTTAATCTGGAATAAATTTTTATTACCGAAAACATCCCGCGAAATAGGTTATATAATTTTATTCCAGGTTTGTTATTTTTAAGGTATAAACATATAATAAACGGCAACCAGGACCGTATTTAGATGTTATTAATACACAGAGCCAATTTATTTAATGTATACCTACAATAAATATTTTTTAAATACAATTGAAAGTAAATTAAACATTATAAAAACATTGTTTCTAGCTTCAAGTCATGAAAAACCGGAATTCTCAGTTCGTATTGTGGTCTGTGACCACTATCTGACCAAGCCTACGCCTGGAGTGGATGTAATTTATTCAGATTTTAGGGGTGCAGATATAAAACAGGTATATAATTACATGTAGTTGTGTTTTGTAGAAAAGACGAAAGCATTATTGAATATGTTTTTTACAACTTTTTTTCTTATAATATCAAGTGACGGGATAGATAAGTTGCTTACCTGGTGGTAAGCTACACGCCTGTCCATAACGGTTACAGCACCACTCAGAGCTTTAATTGCATCTGTCACCCTGAGACATAAGCTCCGTTAAGACAAGTCCTGTGTGCCTGCAATTTGACCAGCACCCTTACCCTTCAAAACTGGAATGCAGTAATGCTCTCATTACTGCTTGGCTTAACTGTTTTAAAATATTTGTGTCCTGTTTTAAATTCAAATTTAAAATTGAATTTAAAGACTGGATGTAAATATTTTGAAACACTTGTTAAAACCCAAAACATGTATAGCTGAAAAATTTTTCGAAATGACGCTTTCACTCTTTCTACAAAACACTAACGATGTAATATGTTTATACTACTATGATATTCATGTATTTTTTGTGAAAATACTTCTATAACATTTTTTATTATTGATATAAAGATCAAACAATACCAAGAGAAATTCCTTCAATCTGACTAGACTTGGACCGGCATCAGTTGCCATACTGGGACCACTACTCTTACCTACTGAGCTACAGACTAAGTCAGCAGATCTTATGAATTTGTCTACATGCTTGTTGTAGGTGTTTATATTGTATTTAAACAGCTTTTTGGCCACCACTTGTAAAAATCATTCAACTTGTTCGTTCTGCCTATTGATATTATAAAAAAAAACATTAAAGTTTCTTCAGTTATGGTATATAATTACCATTTCTGATGTTATGTAAAACAATTTGGATGATCTGGTTAAAGTTTTGTTCTTAATTTCCCATGTGAAAAGCATCACTGCCTTGATACCTTCATTTTACGTTTTTATTTTGACGTAGACCTACAAATAATCTTTTCATTTTAAAAATAAACAAAGTATAAATGTATTTTTTAATAAAAATTTACAGTAAAATATTTTCTTATGTTGTAAACTATAAAAGAGTATACTGCAAGTGAGGTAGGCTCTAATGATCAATGAACTTTGCAGGTCCCAGTGTTAAGAATATTTGGGCCAACCCCAGATGGGCACAAAGCATGTCTACATATTCATGGAGTGTTTCCATACTTCTACATTCCTTGCCCTACATCAAATCCAGAGCCACAGTTTCTTTACCAGGTTTGAACTTCATTTAAAACATGTTGTCTATTATGTACAGCGTGTCCCAAAATTCAACGATAAGCGGGCGCTGGAGGGTGGACCTGCGCATAACTACTTGAGGAAAAATAAGAAAAAAAA